TGTATAGTATTTCTATGATCACAGAAACAGAAGGAAGACATTCTTCAAGACCCAGTGTGACCAACAACAAAATAAAATGATGTGGTGAGCCTCAGCCTGACGGTGACATCCCAGGAAACTGACAGACCCCAGGCAGCGCCTAGGACTTGAATGCAAAGGTTGACAGAGCCTGCCAAGGAGCCAGATGCTGCTGTCAGAAACAGGAAAAATGGACCACAGTTTGGTATCTGTTTCCTGTGATTAGCATCAGCCACTCCCATCACTCCCTTTTCCAGATTAATTAGTAAAATCTGGTGTGAAGAATTTCAATAAAATGTTTGTTCAAAAGGGGGTAAAGGAACGTCTGTTTCAGAGTTGCTTCCCCCGTTAGTAAAAACATGTATGTTTGTGATGGTGGCTTTTTAAATGCTGTGTCTATGCTTACATTAGTTGGACATTACAGCAGTGTTCGCAAACAGTTAAATGCAATATTGTTTGGCTCTTAGTTTATGATGTTTTTTCCATTCTTAGCCTCAATAGGTCAAGACTTAATTTTTTGCCTTTTTCCTCTTCCTTCTTACTCTGTTTCTTCTTCCCTTCTTTGTGATTTGTCTCTGTATTTGCTTTAATGATGAAACCAGCTCTTGATGTCAAAAGCCAATCTCACAGAGCAACAATAATGTATTAAGAGTAATAACACTTGCCATGACACCACACTCAAATGGAACCATGCTTCATTGTGAAAGAAACTACAGCCTGGGCCCCCCCCCCCCCCCGGTGGTGCAGGGGGTTAAGTCTCAGCACTGTCAAGCTGTGGCCACCCACTGCAGCACCAGTTCAATCCCTGGCCAGGGAGCTGATGCAAATAGCACAGCAGGCCATGATATCCTGTCTCTCCTGCTGCTCCCCTCAGCAGTATATTTCAGTAAATCAGCCTCTTCTGCTCCCCACTCTGTAGTGAATCCTCTCACCCCCTGCACATCTGGCATATACCCCCAGTTCTTCTATGCTGTAGTGGCAGGATGGCCACTGAGCAGGTTTTCTGATCCAGCAGATGGGTAAAGGAGAAGTCTTGGAGTCCTCAGTGGCTTTCTCAAGCTTTTATTGAGCTTTACATGCATTGCAGCAACCACATACATGGCACGTAGGGGTGCCGGGGGGTCAGGAGGCCAGCAGGCCTCCAGGCCCCAGGCAAGTCTTTACTCTGGGCTTCTCTCTCTCTCTCTCTTCTGCCTCTTCTCTCCTTCTTCTCTCCGTGACTCAATACCCCTCCCATGGCCCACACAAGTAAACAACACAGCTTACAACAGTATATAACAACTGCAGGTACCCCATCAGGCAGGACAATCCTAATGGTGGGAGGGCAGAAAAGCCTGAAAAAACATTTACCCTACAATGCATAAATTAATAAAAAATAAATCTTAAAAAAAGAATAGTTAGATGAATAAATAAATTTAGCATGACTACAACCCAGGAGTTTCATGTTTTTAACTTTTTCCATTTATTTTAAGATGGTAACAGCTGGCTTTGGGGCTATTTAAACAAGGATGTGCCTTGTATTAGAGTCTTGTATTAGATCACTCTTCTATCCATCAGCTCCTAGGTTTTCCAGTTCTATTTGTCTGAGCCTATTCACTGAATAGCTCCCTCTCTATAATTCTCATCTCTCCCCATCTCTATTCATCTACTTAAGAGGTATCACACCATACACCTCATCTAGCAAAACAATTTAATTCAATAGCTTTTTTTATTTAGAAAATTATGCACACATATTTCTACCACTTGTTCAAAGATGTGCACAAGAAACATTTCTATGATGCAAGAACAAAGGCTTGAACTTCTAGGGGTCCTCACCCATAACACTTTAAAATGACTGTGGTTTATTACTCAATAATCAAAGATAGGAAAATCTAAGTATGCAGAAAATTGGACATATGTATTCATGTCAATATATGCACAACGGCAGCTTCTTTTAAAAGGGATATCATCATAAACTATTCTGAGAAATGGACACTCCAAATAGTTCAGATATTTAGAAGCATGATATTGTGGTGAAGCATATTGCCTGAAGTTTGAAGATCACCATGTGGCCATTTTGAAATCTGTTTCTCCATCTTTCAGGGGCAGCTAAAATCTGCTAATTGCTTCTCACATAATCCAGTCCAAGAATTAGGGAAATATTAGCACATATTTCTCCTAACACTAGGCTGCACATTCTTAGGAGCATAAGTATCTACAAATGCAAGAAGTCTCAGATAGGTGGATAGTTTCATGTAAGTCAAAACACAGAGAGGACTAGATGATTCCTTTCATGCAAGAGAGGATAAACGGCTAGGCTAAGAAAACATATACAGGACTCAAGAAAGAACAGCAACTACCTGAGCCTGTCACAGTATTTACTTTTGTAAATTTAAAGGTAAAAGACAAATATACAGCTAGCTGAAATTACTGTTTTGACCTTAGTAGTTTATTTTTCCAAACAAATGTAGTAACATGTTTAAATTAAAATATTAGGTGCATAAAGTGGGAATATTGTTTTATTTACTCTTTTCCCTTTCTTTCCCCTCCTCTCCTGTCTTCTCTCCTCTCTCTCTCCCTCCCTCCCTCTCCTATGTTGAGGTGCCATTGGTTTACAACACTCTGATCCAGAAGCAGAAGATCACACCTCCTCAAATGCATGTCACCATAGCATACCCACCAAGTATAAAGATATCTAAAATTTACCCACTATAAGTAAAATATAAGATAGGGTGCATCCAATAATAACAAATCTGCAGTTATATTTGCAGCTGGCAGCACCATGTGGAACACTTTGAAATATTTGCAGGCTACATATCCTGCAAATGCGAATCCAAAAGACTAAACTTGGAACAAATATGACACTTCATCAGCTGCAAAGCTAATTGTGGGTAAGTCTGTCCTCTGACAAGCTCAACCTCTTTGCATTGGATCTAATTTTAGTCATTAGATTGGAGATTTAACTGGAGAATTTCATTAATTTTTTTCCCAAAATGTTTTTATTGTATTATTTCCTTATTGAGGTAATGACAATTTACAATGCTGTGTATGAGTCAAAAGTACGGTATCTGCCGTTCTAATTATCTAATTTTCATCTTAATTTTTGTTATTATATCAAATGTGAAATTTAAGCTTTCAAGCAGAAACTTTTTTATTAAAGTGAATTGTCAGGTGTTTGGAAATAAGCCAATGATATTTAAGGCTGAAACAAAGTTGTGGCACAATGTTCCAGGGAAAATGTGTTTTGTTTTTTTTTTTTTAAAGAATATATTTAAGCAATGTTATTGAACTAAATTTTCAAAAATCATTTCACAGGTATAAAAACACAGTCATGATATTCTGTTAATTTGTATTTAAAATGAATTTAAGGGGAAAAGGCACACATGTTGGCAAATATGATTAATTTTCAAAATGAACTTTTTCCTAAAGAGATATATATAAAAAAAAAAAAACTATAAATGTGCCATATTTTAGGTAAGACAACAATAAAAGGAGTCACTTCCACAATGTAGGGTAAATGGTTTTCAGGCTTTTCTGCCCTCCCACCATTAGGATTGCCCTGCCTGATGGGCCACCCGCAGTTATACTGTTGTAAGCTGTGTTGTTCACTTCTGTGGGCCATGGCTCAGTATTGAGATATTCCCCAAGAGAAGAGAGGCAGGAGAAATAGGCAGGAGAGAAGCAGAAGAGGCAGGAGAGAAAGAAGGGGAAAAAAAACGCCAGAGAAGCCCAGAATGATGACTTGCCCGGGGCTTAGAGGCCTTCCGGCCTCCTGGCCCCCTGCACCCCTGCCTGTCATGTACCTCGTTGCTGCACTAAGTGTAAAAGCTCAATAAAAGCCTGAGAAAGCCACCGAGGGCTCCAAGACTCTCTTTTACCTGGTGTGCTTTAATCTTAGAAAACCTGCTCTGTGCTCATCCTGCCCCTACACACAAGAATTTCAAAATTCTAGAAATTTAAAAATACCTCAAAATAATTGGATTTTGAAATAGATATGACACAAAATGTTCAGAGGTAAACATTAGAAAAAATTTAAATGTAATTTATAAATTCCAGTAGATCAATATTTGTGGGAAACTCACTCCCTCAAGTCTCAAATTCTGCCACATGGTGTAAAATAGAAGAAATTATTTAAAATTAGCCCTTTCAAAAATTCCAAGAAGACTAGCACCTCAATAACTTTTCATTAGAAACAAAGAAAACATATTTCTACCGACATGATCTGTGACAGCTTTGTCCTTTTATATCGTCTTACCAAATATCCTTCTTTTAACAGTTTGTTTCTTTGCAAAGGAAAAAAAAAAAAGCAAAAATAAAAACTAGAAAATATTTTATCCCATGCTTGCTGTTTTAGTTTTTCTATTGTAAGTATGATTATCTATCTGCGAAAGGAGGAAACTTGTATTGGTAAAATGTCTCGTGAGGTTTGGCAAGTTTACATTTTAGCTTTCTTTACTTGGTTTATCTTTCGCATTTCCTATAATATATGTCTTTTTTTCCTGGCTGTGCACTTAGCAGTCTTCTCAGGTCTAATTTGTGTCCACTGGGAGCAGTTTGTTTGCTTGGTTTTGAGGTTGACACTTCTCTTTGGAAACTTACCATATGTTTTTACAATATATATTATACCAAGTTGCTGTTTTTTCAGTACATATTTTTATATGTGGGGGTTAACTAGAGCAAAATGAACAGATTAAATTATATTTGTCATAGTCTGGCTTAATTTTCACTTGAACTCATTTCAAGCTAAATGTTTCATCCCCATTCATCTTTATTCATTCAACTGTATCCCATGGATGTTTGCCATTGAAACACCTGGTAGTTTTCCCTCTTTGGCAGATTCTTGGACTCGTCCTGGCTTTTCTAGTGCTTTGGTAAAATTAAGGCCATTATTTTTCTCTAAGGTGAGGAGGGTTTGGGGGTAAATTTAATGTAACTGATTTCCTTGCCAAAGATATACTATGGGTTTGAGAGGCAAATTTCATAACTACAACCTCCCTCCAGGGTCCCCTGCTTGTTATGGATGTAAATCTTCACAGCGTATTTTGCGGACTTAAAAGGTGGAAGCAACAGACAGTCATTGCCAAAAGCACCATGAAAAAAGCAATGCTTCCAAAGACTGTCTCACCGGTAACAAAGACTTTCAGAAGACTCAAAACATGACCTATGGAAGGCAACGGAAAACCTGTAAGTAACTGCTGGGTGCATTCACTAGGTGTGTCATTTAGCAGCTAAAGAATTATGAATTTCAGCCATACTTTATTTTCACCAAATACAAACATCATGTTACTTTTTTTTAATTAATTTTTTGTTTGTTTGTTTTTATTTATTTATACAAGCACTGGGCACAGAAGCGCAGGAGGGTGAGAGAATTCACCAGAGCCAGAGCAGGGATTAGAGCAGGCAGAAGGACTGAAGTCCACTGCTGAGGGGAGCAGCGGGCGGCAGGAGAGGTCTGTGCGCCATGAGGGACCCTCCTCTGGTGGCCGGGGGAGCAGCCGGGGATCGAACCGGCGCTGCAGAGGCTGCGGGCAGCTTCGCAACCCAGCTTCGCAACCCAGCGCTCAACCACTGCGCCACCGGGGAGGCCCATCATGTTAATTTTTGTCCTTCTGATCCATGTCTGTTTCAAGCTGTCTGTGCTATACACTTGCAGAACTGCTTTGTATGGTTTTATCAATTCTACTGATAAGCCTTATTGCAATTTAAATGATGGACTGAGCACAATAATAATAGAACAAACCTACCAGCCTTCTCTCTGCATTGCCTGCAGCTGGGATGTCCTACACTGACACACAGCTGAATTCCCTATCAGAAGTAGCCTTGACCTCAATACAGATTAGTTCTTTCTGGGTAAAGATTTCACACCAAATAGAGAAAGACAAGAGCAAATTACAACAGGTTTTTTAAATTGTTCCTGCAACCACAATATAATATGTTCAGTGTGGGAGCATTGTTAATGATGCATACATTTTCCCAACCACATCCACTCATTGATCAAAACCACTGTCAGTAGCATTATTTTTAAAAATAAAGATCGCACACAGAGGCACATGCATGTATGCTGTTCATAACACTCTGTATTTAAATAAACATTAAATGTGGAAGGGAATTTTCCTAATTAATAAAATATGTACTCAGGGAGTTCAAAGAGACATTCTGCTGTCTACCGAGTCTAAGTGACCTCATCTAAAAAAGATAATACCAGTTAACAAAAGTCTAGATTCAGGGCCTCCCTGGTGGCACAAGGGGTTAAACACAGCACTGTGAAGCTACCCACAGCCTCTGCAGCATGGGTTCAATCTCCGGCCCTCTAGGGAGCTACCCACATTGCGCAGCAGACCTCTCCGGTCTCGCCCACTGCTCCCCTCAGCAGTGTATTTCCGTCGATCTGCCTATTCTGCTGCCCACTCTGTCTCTGGTGTATCCTCTCACCCCCCGTGCCTCTGGCCTGTACCCCAGTTCTTGTATGCACAAATAAATCTTTTTTAAAAAGTTTAGATTCAGAGCTATTTCCACAATTCTGTGAAATCAGTTGATTCAGTGACATAAAGATCTATCAAACTTTCGTTTGGCATATGAATATAATAAATATACTTTATCAATTTAATCTAAAGAAAAAATATTTTAAAAATATAGGCAAACATCTATGTGAATTATTGTGTTTTGTGCCATTTCCCATTTAAATTATTTTTTAGATAATTTTTTTTTCACTGTGGGAGCATACTTCTAGAGTACTTTTCTTTAAAAGAAATTATGTGGTCAAGAATATCATCATTTGTGTTACAGCCCTAAGATAGTTCAATGATTTTTGTCCAACTATGATCTACTAGCTCCAACTTAGAGTTGCAGGGTTCCACTAAAATTTGATTCAAATTTTATTTTAAATAGATCCTAAATTTAGTGTAATTTAAATATAGCTTGTATAAAATCATACACAGGGTAATATATACAAATATATATATATGGGTTCACATGTCTGCATATTCACTAAATATTTAACTTGTTAACAAATTAGCCATTAAAAATACAATAGACATTCCATTTACATTTGATTTAATTAACTAATAATTTAATTACCTGATATTTTAAGTCAATTTGTTTAGATAACTTTTGAGATTTGAGTGATAAACTTTTATTTGTAAATGGAGCTCTGATTTTAAATAATTTTAAAACCCTTTTCTCCTTTTGCTAACTCATATCACTCAACAGAAGAACATATATTCCACAGAACTTTGAAAAAGCAAAATGGAAAATTTTTTGTAACATTGTTTGTTAGTAGGTTTTGTTGTCTTTAGTTTGGTGAAGGTTGGCTGCTGAGCCAGAGATAAACAAAAAGAAAAGTCACATAAAATCACACAGTTGGGATAAACTGGATATATAATGAAATTCAAGTTATTCATGCATTGGCTGTAGGCTCAGATATAAACTTTAAATGCAATATTCCTTTAAATATTCCCCAAAATATATTTAGATCACCTAAAAGATCTTACTCAATAAAGTCTAATGAGAAAAAGAAACACTCAATTTAAATCTGCTAGCACAATAGGGACACAGCACTCAAATGAAGCTGAGCTTTCTTAATTTTATTCTCAACATTAAACCCATTTTTGTTTACAGATATGTACCTTTCAAAATACTTCTAATTTCTTTCTCTCTGCCTGATAAATAGTACTATTATATAATTTTCAATACAAGATTGCAATCGGCCACGTGCACTACAAGACTCTTGAGGTCAGATTAAAAGTACAGTGATACTGTTAGGAGAAACCCTTGAAAAAGAAAATGCAGGAGAGCCTGCCTTACTGGACAACCATCACATTGCAATGCACTAGTGAAGAAGAGAGAGGAACGATGTCGTGAATGTTCTAGAGGGCGTTCAAACTAAGGAAGGCCTGAGAAGACCATCAGGAGTTCATGAGCCAAAATCAGCCTCTGAGGTCCCTCAGGAACAGCTTGCCTGAGTATCCCTACGTGGCTCAGTCACTAGCATGGACCCATCCATGGGAAACAAGGTGAGTTCAATGCTGGAAGCAGGAACCTTTACACTATTACATCCGCTTTATTAATTGTCCTGATTGTCATCAATATGACATTTAGAAAATACCCTTCAACCTTACATACTAAATAGGATCAAACTTGCATGACTTACTTGACTAAGTAGGACCAATCTTTCAGAGGAAGAGCAGAGTTCAAGAACCCGGGAGACATCTCACAGCACAGTGGAGCACACGAAATAATGTCACAATATTAACAGTAATATTACACTCCACTGGCAGATCAGCCTGCCTAACTAACACCCTCTTCCTTTCCTTTAAAATCATGGAGAAGCACAAGCACATTGACAGAAAGTCCCTTCATTTTGAAGCAGGAGGTCACCACATAGTTAATGCAATCAAATATCAGGGCTACTCTTTAGGAAGGAGAAAGTCAAAGAATAAAAACAATGCTAACTGGATGCAATTAGATTTTACTGATTTTATTTTGATTTTATATGAATATCATCTTCTGTTCAGATTTGAAAAATACTGTTTTGAATTTCAGCCTTTAACCTTCCAGTTTTTTGTTTGTTTGTTTGCGAATTATGTTAACACTAATTTGCAACACAATATCTCATTCAGAGTTGAATCATCTTTTCAAATGTATGTTCCCACACCATGCCCTCAGTAAGACACTGAGTCCTCCACCATAATCCACTGGACACCCTCCATTTTTGAATAAACAAATGTCTTTTGGCATTTGTTGCTGTTAAGAAAACTTAATTGGTGCAACATATATTACTCAAAGATAAGCAAACAAAAATGCTTAATATTGATGAATAACGCAGAGACCTACAGTAACATCCTTTGATATTTTCTTACAATATTTTCCTTCACTGTTTTAAAGAAACAGTAACATGAAGCTACTAACCCATGAGAAATTGATCTTCCTTACTTTAATGTAATTAGTTCTTAATTCCTTCTCTAGTTTCTCTGGATCTGCTTAAGTTTTGAAACCAATTCAAAGCAAAGTTTTAATTATTACAACATGTAACTTAATGGGAGTTCTTTAGCATTTCACTGCAAACACCTAACAAATCCCTTTCACCCTCATCCTCTGATGTCTGTGTTTAATTTTCAACTTTCTAAAACCAGGCATGCATTTGCCACGGAGCATAGAAGTAAGGTAATCACTGTTACCCATTAACACACATCCTGGACCTGCCATGTTGGAACTCAGGAGAAAGAAATCAAATCTACCTTCACAGACCTTGGAGGTGGCAGTCACTGGTTATCCACTGAGGTTATTTGATCCATTTAACCAGCACATTCCCCTTCTCTCATTCCACACAATATTTTATTTGGTCATAATGCAAAAATTCAGCACATCAAGCCTAAGTGTTTTACAAACTGAGAACCAGATCTTGTGGTTCTGTGAGATAAATAACTTGTCTTTTAGGTCTGATTCAGGTACCTTTCAAGGTATTATAATTCCTTTGGGTCATGAGGGTCTGATAAATTACAGCTGTACATTAACTGGGAAGGTAGCAACAGAGAAAAAAATTATATTCTCTAAATGTATATAAAGTGGTTTGCAAACAAGGGAAGATTTAATTCATTTTTCTCCCTCAGTGGCTAATCTCTTGTTACAAAGCTAAAGTCAGTCTCTAGTTTCATCCCTTAAAAAAAAATGTGAATACAAATTTAGCTGGGTATAGGATCTACCCCAGGAATGGCATGTTAATTAGGAGTTGACAAATTGATTCCAATAGTCTTCTAAGTGAGTATTTGCTTTAGGGAAATTCTTTTCTTTATTAAAAAAAAAAAAAAGAAATGTTTCTAAGAGCTAGATTAATATGTATGTTTTCACAGAATCAGTCTCTAATGAATCCAGTTGTAAGTTAACATTAGTTAAATCAAAACTTTCCAAATCTCAATTCTGAAGATATAACTTCATCTCTTTTTTAATCTGTTTTTTAATAAAGGGCATAGTAAAAATATTAATATTTGGAATTATTCAAAACAGTATAAAACTTACATTTGAGAAAAAAGGTCACTAAGTCACACATGTTATTGCATTTAAACCAAAGCATGTAGGAAAGTGTTTGAGCTCAATGATAAAGTAAATATTTATTATAATATATATATTTGTTATGACTCACACAATTGCCAGAATCCCAAGTTATTCCTGTCTTACCTCTTTGTCATAGCTTCTGCCTTCTCCCTTGTCCTCCAATCCAACATAGTAAGTTTCCATTTCCTTACAGCTCTTAAAGAAATTAAAAGAAACTATCATTCAAAATGATGTGTGAATTTTATTGATAGGATAGCAGGAGATATCATGGAGATATTAAATTAGTGACTTCAGGGGATATTATGCATCCATCTTAAATGCAAGGATGTAATAATCATAAAATTTCCAGGACTAGTACTAAAAGACAGGTTAGTAAGGAAATAAAAGGAAATGTACATTTGTAAAGTAACTCAAATGAGCCAGATATCATACTAGGCATTTAACTACTCACTAGCACTGAAGTTTATGAAAGTACATCTCATAATTTTGGATTAAAAAAAAAAAGGTGAGATCTAGATAAATTTGACTTAAATTGCCTGAATTTATCATAGAAAAGAGAAGTTTTCTGAACTTAAGTTGTGCAGGCCTTAAAAATGTGTCTTTCCTACTACCACACAATTACCGCTCCTAAGAAGAAGTTAGTGATCCACAAAACCATTACAAAATTGGAAATGTATGTTCTAATTTATGCTGCTTTTTTTTTTTTTCACAGAATTCCCTAATGGACAGAATAATGAACTAACAACCTAGACTTCAATATGGCCAGATGCTATTATATACAATTACAAAATCTCTTATTATATCAAATAATAAAAAATAGAATGTCAATCAGTTATTTCAAACTGCTCTCATCTTTAAATCCTATTATGTACACATGTACTAAAATGTAATTTCTGATACCAATCATGATCATGAATCAATAGCTGAAACCACTCTTATAGGCCTCGTATACCTCAATATCTACTCTAAAGGATGAACAGTGATACTGTGAGTTTAGGAAAGCAGACCACCACCACAATTCCAGTATCTGTTCATTTACTAGCTTCTAATATCTTTTTAATATGTAAATGGAGCTCTCTGGGCTTACATTCTTTTTTTTATATAAATTTATTCTTAATAGAATCAATTGAATAGAACTAATGTTTAAATACCCATAAGAATGAATTTGATGGTTCATGGGTAAATTGGTGGTGGGAATTTTATGGGGACTACACAAGAGAGGAGAAATCAAACAATGTACAAAAATGAACAATGATGTAAATTATGTATGCATACATATAAATATTTTTAAAAAGAATGAATTCGGTTGTCTCTTATTTAAAAAAAATAGATTCCTTAGCATCCCCAAAGGAAAATTATGATTCAGTTCTTTGGGATAAATTCAAGATGATTTATATGTTTCACATTATTCTAGTTGGTCCTTACTGTCACACAGTCACAGTTGCAGGAAACTCAGCCTTAGAATCACTGCAAAGTTATTGGAAAATCCGACTAGGTTATTTATAGTATGAGGCATGGAAAGGAAAAAGAACATTGATGCCCAGAGGAAGTTCCCATCTAGCAGAGTGGAGAATATAGAAGCCTTAAAAGATACATTAATATGCATGGAACATATGGCAAATTAAGGGCATAGCCAAAGGAGATGAATATTGGAATCCATGGGTGAAAGACGTGACCACAGACCATTGTGGTCAGGGAAGATCTACTTTGTTCAACGAGCCATAAACCAAATTGTTTCTAAAGTATGGAACCATGAAATTCTGAAGTGAATTCACCAAAACAATGGTTCCATGTAGCTTCCAAGGATCACAGGGAAGAGCTGTGGAAGATAAGTTTGCTGCTTATGTCTTTTCTCTGTCCATTGCATTTGGAGTATTTTGTGCCTCCTGATCCTTCCCTTTCAACTTGTTCAGGCATTCAAGGAACCTCAGAAACTTTTTTTTAATCAATATTTTACCATTTTTTTTTAAATAAGGAAACATTGGTTTATAACACTGTATTCAAAATCTTGCTCTCAGGAAATTTGCTTGATATTCTTAAATTTTCACTCACTTTCCATTGTAATATTTTATTTTACCTTTTTAAATCACCTCTGCATGCAAACAAAATTTACAAAATTGTACTTAGAGAGATAATCTAATGTCCTGAGGAATTTGAAAGGGCTTTTCTTTTGCATCTATAAATATTTTCACACAAAAAAGCATTTATATGAACCTATCAACTCATGTCATTTCATAACTAAGTTCTAGCATTTGATTTGGCTTTTTTGGAGTTTCTGCACACCCTATATCAATTAATTGATAAAGACTTATTGTAAATTTCTCAAAAACTAACTTATGTTGGGTATTGTTGGATAATACAGAGTGCATAATTTATTCTGAAAACATTCATATGTTTACTTTGGGTTTATTTCATTCCAAAACACAATCACAATACATCTTGAGGCTTAAAAATCCTTAGTTTTTACATCATTCTAAATGATCAATTTTAAAAAATATGTGTACATCTTTATGCACTTTAAAGATGTGTGTTGTTAAACACAGATGCCACAAGAACCCAGGAAATAAATACTTGCCTAAAAAAACAGTGAGTAGCTTTGTCACAGTTTGTATCTATTTTGATTCTTGTTTCAACAGATGAAAAAAATTAGAATCAGAAAAGGTAGGCAGTTTGCTCTAGTTAAAAATGATAATAATTGGGACACAGTGCAAGAAAATCAATCTCATATGAAAATCTATACTTTTTCTATACCATCATAACCCCAATGAGGAGTCAAAACAATATCCACAATTGCAAACATATATAGCACAAACCTAAAGTTAAAAATGTAGCTGAATGAATAAATGATGAGTAGCTCATATTAGTTTATACAGATAAGAACATACATATACATAAATACAAACTGCATATGTAAACTCTTAAAATATACACATATTTGGGGGCAATGATAATTGGTGGCAAGCCAGTAGTTAACATAATGTCCTTTTGACAATATTCAGTCAGAAATGCAAAGCTATCTGCATAGTGTAAACATATTCCAACACAATAAAAACAGTTGTGTGTAAGCACCTTTAACCTTTCTTATCAGTAAATTAAATCTTAATTTTACCAATGCCCACCAGGGGGTGCTGGCACATCGACAAGGAGAGAAAACATCGTCCACTCATGTCAAATAAAATACTAACAATTAACCCTCTTTGTAAGAATCTGTTTCTGTCCATAGTATTTAAAGAACAGAAGTTATTCACACATGTTGGCTCAGGATCAAGATCCTTGAAAAAAAAATTTAGAATTGCAAGTCAACTGAAGTTTTTGCATTTTCATATTTTTTATGGAAGTACTTGAACTCAAAGATGTATTTCGATGAAACAACTTTCACATAAAGTGATTTTTACCAAACTAATTGTTAAATTCACATGGTTTGTAACAATTCAACCTTCTTAAGTTTCATATTAAATTTCCAAAATGTCATTTGTGCTGAATTATCTATATAAAATTATACATAAATCACTAAGAAAGATAGTTGGAACCAAATTCTGCCATTTTTTAATAACTTGGGAGGTAAAATTTTACAAGTTGCTTTTAATCAAATAAAAGACTAAGTTAAAAATTGGAACATCATTTAATGACATTGACTGAAAATAACAAAGACAACTGAATTATTTCTATCTTAAAATGGTCAATTCAATGAAATACAACAAGTTGTTAGGTATTTTTGGTACAAGACAATCTCAAAATGAACTGAACATTCTTGGGGGGGAAAGCATTTTAATGGTAAAAATTGGATGCAAATTTAAGATCTTCAATAGAAACAATCTCCTTCCTCTCTTCATCAAAGATGCTTTTACCCTTGGAATTCAAACCATTCAACCATAAGGAAAATCTATAGTCTTCCATTTGTGGGCAAAAGCTATTTGGCTGCAACATCCCTTATTCAAGCATTTCCAAGTTTGGTTCAGTTGATCTGGAGTGCAAAGTACACTCAGAAACTGTGTCCTTGATTTTAAAGACAATCTTCCCAAACAGAAGGAAAATATTCTTTGTTACAAAGTCCTTGAGAAGTTCATCTCTCCTTTTTAATAGTCGTCCTTGAAAATGTTTGAGAAATGACAAAACCTGTTAATTAAGACCATCACTAGGCTCATCAGGGGGGAGGTAAGGGCTTTATAATTCTAATACTATCTCCAAATGCTTATGGGATTAAATGTCCATTTGGGATTTATCCTTCAACATATCATAACTCTCTTTTTTCAAGCTTACCTGTATGTCCAGTCAATCTTACTATGTTAGATGCAATAGTATATTGACCTTTCTGTCATTAGTCTTATTGCCTTCATTTATTCACAATTGTCTCTCACGTCTAAAGAGATACTCTACTTACTAATAATCAAGTACTTAATGAGGGCATTTGAATTCACTCAATTCAGATCCTACAAATCTCATAGACTTTAATCATATATTTTACCCTTCATTCAGAGGAGTCATATGAAATATTCAATCCTATTATCATATGCAAATGTCTTGATTCTATGACATGATAATCAATCAACAAATATTTATCAAGTGCTTTGACACAGAGAAGAAATGATTCTGCCTTTTCATCTTACCTTGTCTTCACCCTTCCCAACTTCAAAGATTTTAGGTGCAAATTTGGCAAAGACTGGCAGTAGATTATATAATCTTAGCTTCACCATCAGGTGAGATTTATAATCACATTTTAATCTCATGTTCAGGGTACAGTATGCCAAGGATGAATTATAGCTCTGCCTTTATTTTATCTGAATTGTCAACAGCATTGGGCAGTATCCATTTTCTATTTCATATGTCCTTTTTTTTCTTATGATTTCCCAAATTCCATGCTTGTATTTTTTTCCTTTAATTCATGAACTATTCCTCAGTTTATTTTACATCCTTATTTATTGCTTTCTCTACTTCTCAAGCTAGAAATGACTCCTTTGAGTAACTTGAAGCCATGTCCATGTCTTTAAAAATGTATTCAAGTATAATTAAAGTTTGGTACACAAACTTTACATATTTGAACCATGCAGTCATTAACCTGCCAATGCTATCAACATAATGGGCTCTTCATCACATTAAAAAGTTCCTATTGATACTGCCCTTGTAGAAATTGCAATCTAATGACAAATGAGTATATGTCACATGAGAGGAAGCATTGAACAATGATCACTAATGAGTGGTAAATAATGATACTGATAAGTGGTATAGAAATTCAGAGAAGGGAGAAATTATGCAAGATGATTACAAATAGTTTCATCAATACTTATTCCAAGCATCTATTTGCAGTATTTTTCTCTCTGCATTTTATTTGATTATTGGTATTATTTTTTATCTTATACTTTCTCCAGATATTAATATAAAACATGTAGTGTTTTCTAGGTTTGGATTCCTTTGGGTTTTATATATGGATACCATTTCTTTCCTCTCCATTGGCTGCTTAATCATTCCTCGTGCAAAATAATCTTGACCTTTTTATTCTACAGGTTGTCACCATATAAAATAATTTCAGAGTTAGAAGGGATCTTAGATCCCTTTCTGCAAACTTCAATAGACTGTGCAAGTCTATCTCCCCTTTTCTATTTTACCAATTAAGGTTTGTGTGTCTTTTATTTATATTAGTGGCCCAAGCAGGAATAAAGATGACTTTTATTTACTTTTGAAACAACTTAGACGTGACTCCTTATGGCAGTGACTGAAAAATGATTCCTTGACTCATGTAAGTTCAGTTGACTTTTCATGTTTTAGATGTTTAAGCACAAATTATGACCTTGTCTTTTCTTTATTTCCCTTGTATTTAGTTATCAGATAAAAGAAAGTCCAAAGTTAAATTTGAACTTCTAATAGACAGCAAATAATTTTATGACAAGTATGTCCAAACTTTGCATGAGACACACTATATTTATTTTTAAGTTTTTTCTTGTTTGTTTTTCCCTAAATATGTCATTTCCTTGACTTGTTCCCAGATAGTCTGTCTTCTTTAACCTACCCTCACCCAAATCCCCCAGATTAGCAACCAAAGAATGAAAGAAAGACTACTTCTTTTCCATGGTGTATCAGATTGTTCTTATTGGACCAAGTTGAATCATAACCTTCAAACAATGACCATGACCCAGAGGATAAAACACACTGCTCTGTATCTGGATCACAGCCCAGCTCCACAAATGAGAGAGGGCATCAGTATGTCAGGCTCAACAAACCACATTTACTGAGAGTCAGCAAGGAGCTTTTGCCAACAGGAAACCTGAGTTCAGAGGGAAAATATACATTGGACAAGAGAAGGAAAAATCT